TTCTTCCTATTTCACATTGTCAATTATATCATTAGGATCTTATGTACTATTACAATTTTTCACACCAGGGAAACTATTGGTATTCACACATGTGTGACTTATTTATTTCACTTAGGAGTATATCCTCAATATGTATCCGTTGTCCTATGAATGACTCTAATTTCTCATTCTTTATGGCTGAGTAGTATTCCTTTTTTTGGGTACCGGGGATCGAACTCGGGTCCTTGCACTTGTGAGGGAGACTGCAGAACCACTGAGCTAAATCCCTGGCCCAATACTCCATTTTATAGAAAAACCACATCTTTTTCATCCAGTCAGGCAGAGAAGTACACTAATTCTGCCAGTAAACTTTCTTGGCAGCACCCAGTGACACAGAAAAGGTAGACCTGCCATCTGCAGGATGTAGTAACGGTGTGATTTCTATTATGAAGTAATGTGAGATCAGCGGTATGTGTTCTGAGTAGAAAAGCCAGAGACTCTAGTATCGAATGGTCTTGGCTTCCAGGAGCTGGAGTCTGGTGAGCTGACTTCAGTTTGTGTCTTTTCTCAGACTCAGTCACTGTGTGGAAAATGAGAAGGTACAGCGCAAATGTGAAAGGTGAGGAAGATTTCTTTGAAGCAGTTTCACGAAAACTGCATTCATTAAGTGAATACATCTTATATGTGAAATGTTTGCTGCAGCTTCTTTTGGCATGAAAACAAGAAAAACTCCGCTTTACAATGCCTCTGTGTCCTTAGGGAGTGTGAGTGGTGATTTCATTACCGAATCATGGAAAAGAGAACGAAGGCTGTGCAGCTTGGCCCTGGGCCTGTGATTCTGGAGCGATGGCACCTGAGCCCACCTGGTGCCTTCTCCTCGGCGTCGGTGCTCAGGGGCCTGCGTCACCACGGCTCGTTGGATGGGGGAAACTGCTCACAGTGAGCTCACACTAGTGTCAGTGCCTTTAAGCCTGCTAATTGTACTGTTAAAACTTCAGGAAAGGGAGTAAGTTGTTTTATTGAATCAGCCTTTATTTTGCTTGGGGAAAAATAATGTAAATGACCTTTCAAAACTTCCACTGATTCCTTTTGTTCTGTTCCTATTTATTTATTTATTTTATTGTAGTAATGGGGATCGAACTCAGGCCCTTACGCTTGCAAGGCAGGCGGCGGAACCACTGGGCCAAATCCCAGTTTGTTCTGAAATGGAACTTTGGCTCACAATCTGCCAAGACATGTGCAGGGGCAGCACTGTATTTGAGGTGGTATTTAATTAAAATGGGAACAGGGTAGCCAGACTTAGGGAGTCTGTTTTCTTTAGACTCTTGCTGAATTGTAGAGCAATGAGGAGTGATAAGAAGGTCAGTCCATTAGGGAAAGCGGTGGGATGTGGTACTGTGCAGGGGCATGAATTAGAAGGGATGTTGAAATTGTAGGTTTTTTCCAATATTAAGAAAGGCACCCTTTCATTGAGGGGAGGCATAAACACATTGCTGATTTTTATTTTCCATTTTTTTAAATTTAAATTTTTCACATTTCCCCATCTTTATTGTGGTTGACAGTGGGGTTTTCCTTCACCCGAGTTCTTCAGTCTTCAGAGATAGAGTACTTCGAGGCCTTTGCTCCTCGTCGAGCTCTGTTCAAAGCTGGAAAGGTGAAATGAAGACTGACAGTGTCCCGTCAGCCCTGCTGCAGCTCGCTTGTGCTCAGTTCGCCCACTTTACTTTCCGTTTTGCGTGACTGTACTTTTTCGGACGGGACGGAAGGCTGGAAAGGGGAAGATCTGTTAATCGTAAGGCCTTCCTCTGGCAAGTTAAGCACACTGAAAACCATCTCACTCAAATAGGGCAGAAAAAGGCCTAAGACCCTTTGTCTAATAGAATTTCAGCAAGCTCACTGTAGTCCTCTTATTTTGGGAAATGAAGGGAAATGGAGCCCTCTTGCTGCTACTGCCTCTCCCTTCCACCCCCAAGAGGATTTAGGCCATTCCAGTACTGAGAAGCCACCGATGTCTGTGATCACCGAGTCCAGAAGCCACTTCACTGAGACACATTTGGAGTATCGCTAGTTGTGAGATAATTGGGTAGATAAATAATCTTTGGAAGCAGTGAGTTTTGATTCATGTTTCCAATTTTCCTTAATTGATCATTCTTCCAATTTTTAAAGATGTGCATAATTAGTATATTAGTTATAGGAGTGGTAGACATGAGGTAGAAGGTTCTGCTAGAGGGGATGCTGGATATTTGTAATGCAGGGTAGCATAGTAATGCTCTGGGTAGAAGTATATCGAGAAGGTGAGTAAATATTAAAGATAACAAAGTAGGGCTGGGGATTTAGCTCAGTGGTTCCGCCGCCTGCCTTGCAACCACAAGGACCCGAGTTCAATTCCTGGTACCAAAAAAAAAAAAAAAAAAAAAACCCAAAAAACAAAGTAGAGGGCAGGGGTTTTAGCTCAATGGTGCTGCCGTTGCCTGCCTTACAAGTGCACGGTCCTGAGTTCGATGCTTGGTACCCAAAAAACAAGGTAGAAGTCAGTTGTGGTAGCTCGTGTCTGTTGATCCCAGCACTCAGGAGGTTCATCAGTTCAGGGCCAAGCTGAGCTACACAGGCCCTGTCTAATCTCTACTCCCTCCCCAGAATAACTCAAGAAAGGACTTGAGCTGGTGGCGCAGTGGCACATACCTCTAATCCCAGCTGCTTGGGAAACTGAGGCAGGAAGCATGCAAGCTAGAGAGGCTGGCCTGGGCGAACAGCAAGACCTTGTCTCAAAAATAAAAGTGCCTGGAGCGTGTCCCAGTACAGAAGAGAAGAGGCTTGCTGCCAATCTGTAGGGCATGCAGCTGACACTGTGAGCCCCTGTAGAGTCAGCCTCAACTTGGGAGCCAAGGCCGTGTGCTGAGCGCAGCCGTGTACAGAAGCTTCGCCCTGGGCCTTCTGCCCCGTGATACCCCAGGTTCCTCTCGCTCGGTTTGGTCTGCATCACGGTACGATTTCTCATTAAAGCTTTTTCATTCCTAATTCTGTTTAACATCTGCTTCCTGCAGAATCTAACTTGGGACCCAGTTCTTACATATACTGACCTGTTTTATTAACACGATGTGGTCTTTCTAGAAAATTTAGGGAATGTAGAAAACACAAAAGAAAAATTTTAAATGGCCTATAGTATTTCCCCTAAAAGTGACTAGTGATGATAATAGTTTATTTTGGCAGACTTTAGAGAAGTGCAGCCCAGTAAATTTTTCATAGAACACATCCATGTAACCAGTACCCAATCGGGAAACAGAACTTGACCAGTATTTAGAAACTTTTTACAGTTGCCAAAGGTAACCACTATCCTCACTTATTAACAGCATAAATGAGTTCACCTGGTTTTGAGCTTGATGTGCGTGTAGTCACTCAGTATGTATATGCTTTGACTTGCACAGCATTATGTCTGAGATTATCTGTGTGTTGTGTGGACCTGTCATTCTTGGCCCTATAGTATTCTATTGTGTGAGTGCACCATGGTTTAACTGTTTTTTTCTTGAGACGGGGTCTCATCTATGTAGTTCATGCTGGCCTTAAAATCACTGTAGCTCAGGCTGGCCTCAAACTCCTGGCGGTCTTCCTGCTTTAGTCTCCAGAGCACTGGGCACGCCTGACATTCTAGTCATCACCTTCTTCACCTTTTTTATTTTTGAGGCGGGGGGGTCTCACTATGTAGTCTAGGCTGGCCTGGACCTTGCGGTGATCCTCCCGCCTCAGCCTCCTGTGTATGTGTGCCACCACACTCAGCTTTTTTGTTTTTTGATAACAGTCTGTGTATACCAGGTTGGCCTTGGGCTAGTAATCCTTCTGCTTAAGCCTCTCAAGTACGAGGGTTACTGCCATATGCCACCATTCTGTTCTGTGATTGATGGGCATTTGGGTTTGTTTCTTTATTGCCTGGATTTGTTATGCTATTTCCTGTTGTAAATATTGTTTTATACTGTTATTTGGTATTTTATCCAGTGAATGTCTATTATTGGAACGTTATCCTCTTAAATGAATTATCTTGTTTAAAAAGCTAGAAAAGCTGTTTTATTTTTTGCAGTACTGGGGAGCAAGTGCAAATACATGTGCATACTAGGCAAGCATTCTATTGCCCAAAGCATGTTTTTGTTTGGTTGGTTGGTTTTTGCGACTTGGTCTTCCTCTGTACCTCAGGTTGCTCTTGCATTGGTGATCCTCCTCCTGTCTCAGCCTCCCAAGTGCTGGGATTACAGGTTTGTTCTTCTGTGCCCAGCTTCCAAAAACTCTTAATCCCCACCTTGGTT